AATATCATTAAAAATCGGCGATTAATCGCGTTTCAGCTCACAATTATCGTTTCGATATATCACGATTAATCGCCAATTTTTCAGCGATTTTCAGGACATGGGTATTTTGAGAATATCGTTATCACAGCAGTGTATTTAAAAAAAAATAATGATACATTCTGATAGCGCATGGAGTTTTCTATCAACCTGTATATTTGCCATTTCGTTTGAATATATGTATTACCAAAAAAAAATTGAGTGTAATGAAGGCACCCTCATGTCCAGATTCCCACAGGCTTGATTTTGTCACTGTCGCCAAAACCAGTTTTTAAAATTTTTCATCACTATAGAATCACCTTTTGAAAAAAGTAATTATATATTCTGATAGAGCTTGAAATTCTCTATCATCGTATATATTTTTCCCTTGACTTGCAATTATGTATTGAATGTGTTGCGGCATATGACTGCAAAATTGTTAATAAATATACAGGATGATAGAGAATTTCAAGCTCTATAAGAATCTGTGATTGCTTTTTAAAAATAAATTTTCCCATAAGAATAATAAATTTAAAAAGAGAACTCCAGAAGCAACGAAAAATGCACATTTTTGATACTCGTCAATTGACGATGCGTTCACTGTACTCAAATTCTCTTTTCAATAAATGAATATAAGTAAATAAGTAAATATACAGAATGATAGAGAATTTCAAGCTGTATCAGAATATATAATTACTTTTTTCAAAAGGTGATTCTATAGTGATGAAAAATTTTAAAAACTAATTTTGCTGACAGTGACAAAATCAAGCCTGTGGGAATCTGGACATGAGGGTGCCTTCATTATACTCAATGCTTTTTGGTAATACATATATTCAAACGAAAAGGCAAATATACAGATTGATAGAAAACTGTACGCGCTTTCAGAATATATCATTATTTTTTTAAAAATACGCTGCTATGATAACGATATTCCCAAAATACAGACTACAACTTATTTTTTCCAGGCGTATATATGACTAAAAATGAGGTTCAACAATGTTTACTCCAACAGAAAGTACAAAGTAGTTATTTAGATGTGTAGACTCTTCCCGTGAGCTCAACAATATGCATACATCTCAGTTATGTGGCACTAATTATTCAATACATAATGTTACGCTATATTCTCGATGTTGCTCGACATCTGCTTTGCAACACTAGGATCAAGGATACTGTATTGAAGAATCTACAGTTTCATGGAAATATAGCAATCCTTAGAGTCTAAAACGATTCCTACTTTAAAGTTCTTTTCAAAATTTGTACGCCAGTTCCTAAAAGTATTCTGATTGGAAAGTTTTCGAGGCACATTCATGAAATTCTCTTCCTATAATACTTTATAGTGAAGTCGATTGGCAAGAGACTCATCTGTCTTTGGAGGAACACGTCGTGTGGCAAATACGTATTTCTAATTTTCAATTCTAGGTAGCCAAAGCGATCAATGTTGCACGCATCAAAGCAAATGAAGCGTCTGTCTCCAACATCAGTTTCGCTGTAGTGAACATACTCGACTCTTCCTCAAATGAGGTGCTACTTCACAATCACTTTGACATTGTGCTGGACTCAGCTGTGTTTCATGTTTTCTCTGATGATGATTGCCTTCGATATGTGCAACGCCTGAAAGAAGTAATCAAGCCGGGTGGTCTTTACATTCAGCTCGTGTTTAGTGAGAAAGAACAAAGAACTGGTGGACCAAGACGTGTCAAGCTGGCAGATCTGCAAGAAATTTTCTCGGAAAAAAATGGATGGCGAATCGAATCAAATGAACACAACATCCTGGAGTCGCGACAGGGTTCAATATTAAGTGGGGATGGGCAAGCTTATTTGACACTGATTCGGCGAATTTCTTCTTGAAAATAGACAGAGAAAGCAATTCGAACTTTTCGTCAATAATAAAAGTCACTTAACTTAGAGAACATGGAAGTTATAGCTATGATAGGATGTGAGTGTTGGTTTTTTCCTTATCCATCCCACAGCATCCTCCTCCGTCATAATGTGTGAAAGAAATCACTGTCCAAGACCTAATAGAGGCCATTGAGTTATTTTTCATACAATACTTCAATACTTTATTCTTACCATTACCCCAATATTTTTCATTGAAAACCGATCTTATCGTGGCTAAAATGTAAAAACTAAATCACATTGCCATCAATGAACATGGATACAATACTGAACGAATGAAATCTTTATTTGAAATTTTTCTTAATTTTCACTTTTGAAATGACTAGCCAAGTATAAGGATAAGACGAAAATGCTACTTACTTATTCCACAGAAGCATGGCATTATTATTACCAGCCATTTCCAGGAGTGGGTGTGGGTACGACCGAAAAAGAGATCCATACCCAACCACAGCCACAGCCACAACCCACATCCACACCCACACCCACACCCACACCCACACACCCACACCCACACCCACACCCATTTATGTGGAGCGTCTCAACGATGCGGCGGCGAGAGAAAAATGAATTCGATTGTTAATGGAAAAAATACGTGTCGCCAAGACGCTTTCGGTCTGGAATGACAACGTGTATTGTGGCAGGGCCGCGAAAGGGTTCGATTTTTGGTACCGATGACGATTATTTTTAACCAACTAGCTTTCATTCTGAATTCAAGATAGTTGTCTATTCTTATAATCGCTCAAATAGAATCTTCCATCAACCGACTTCTATTCGGACATTTTGCAACAATCTTCTTAATTTGTGAAATAAAGCCACTTTCTCTTGTTGAAGTTCGGGGATGCGCTCTATCCAAAGTTTTCCCGCTTCTCTGCAAAAAAGCAAGAAAATATGATACTGATTCGATCTTGTTAATGAGATTCTCATATATGTGTCAAAGTAAGTTTCAATAAAATCCTTCAAATTTTCTGGAAAATTAGATTTCTCGGAATTCAATAACTCAAAATTCTTGCACTATATATGATTTTTCTTTTCAAAATCGGACAAATCTAATCGAGATCTTTCATTTGAGACCGGAATGAAGGTTCTATAACAGGGATTACAGTCTACATGAGCTCTGCAATGGAGGTCATTTCTGCTAAACAATGAAGAAAACTGCAAATTTCTACTGGGAGAGTGTTTTGCAAATAACTTTTCTCCTCAAAAGCTAGAGACCTGCTGTTTTCACCATTGGAATCAACGTTCAAAACTGCGCCGGAAAATATATATATCGTTGTTTTTTCACAGTTGTTTTTGTGTAAAACATGATATGTTCTATACGTATTGGTCATATAGGGTTACATAGAGATTTTGTTCTTTATCAACATAAAGCCCATCGTACTCTTCTAAATCAAACACTGTTATTGTTGTTATTTTGCCAGTTTTTATATTCAATTTTTGAATATAATTAATAACAGTAGAACTAAATTTATATGTCAATTATAAATTATAATTGAAATAATTTTATTTTCTTTTGCTATAGGCAAGTGCCGGCTTGATTTTTTTCATTTATTTTCGAAGTCATCGTATGCAGTTGAAGCTTCATTTATATTAGAAGTAGAATTAGGTAACTCATGCACGGTCAGTTGATCTAGTGCGACTCGATATTTTTAGGAACATTTCTGCAAGATGTCTGTTAAAAATCTTCTGGAGTTGAATATGAAAATCAACAATAAGATCAGAAAGATTTCAAAATAAAAAATTTACGTAATGGTTCTACAGATTGTTGAAAACTGTAGGTTTGAGTATGTTAAATAAAAAAATAGCCTTTTTACTTTTCTTCCCACAAAAGAAAGCAAACACCCGCACATTTTTTGTGAGTTCTTCTTTTTCTTGGGTGCTGCTTAGTCAACATCATGCTACTCCCGTATAACTTTTCTTTCTTTCTGTTCTATCCTTAAGTGATGACTGATTTATCATATTTTTTTAATTTATCTTGAAAGATACTTGAATTGTATGGTGATTAGAAGTGTAAGCCGATGCAGTCATTGGCGATGCTGGCTGAAAGTTTTCGATGAGTTTTTCAAAAATTTTCTTAGTTCCGAAAACTTTTAAATTGAATAAATAGAAATCAAACCAAGAAATCTGAAGACGAAAAACTTTAAGGCTGAAGTGTCTACGTTTGGATCGTGGGAGTGGCTGAAAATGTTCCAAAAAACTCGGTCTCAGCATCGGCTTCGACGATCGACGTAGTTCTGTAATAATGATTACTTTTATTTTCTCTCCTATTGTGGAAATTAGAAAATACAACTATTTACTTTATTCATTAGAACTTGTAAGAAATCAATACAGGGACTTCGTGAAACACAGCTTAACGTTATCAGATATTCTTAGATAGAATATTTTATCATCACTTTAGTTTTTAATTAGTATTGCTACATATTTAAAAAGAAACTAACTACTTTTATTTAAAAAAAATGTGAAATATTAGTGAACTAAGTCCTTTGCTAATATAGTTAGTAAATAATATGGAATAAAATGTTCGTGTGTAGCGATTATTTCTTTATCAATGATGTTTATAAAATTCGTTCAAAGCATCATCAAAACTATGTGGAAAAAGAAGTATTGCTCGTTTCTGACGGAGTTTGTTTTCTTCGTCACATATTGCACGCACTTGTTGTACTTGTTCATCATTAATACCAAGCTTTTTGGCAAGAGTATAAATCGCTTCGATTTCTTTTGCATGTAATTCACCATCTGCAGAAGCAGCTCGAATGCCATGATAGATGACAGACAGTCCAGACTTTTTCACATAGGGCAAATGGACATTCTGAAAATAATTTTTTACATCAGAACATTGTCCTGGTTCATATTTTTCGAGTTCATTAACCAGTTCTTGTGGATATCCTATATGAAATAAAGTTAATATCGATAAATAGTTTGTGAGTATTTATACCACTAATAGTAGCAAAACCCACTATCCATTCCCGTTCCTGTTCGCTGAATGTTCCATCAGCCGCTGCCACATCAACCAGACTCTTCATGAAAACTTGCTGAGCTGTAGGCTTGATTGTTGGACCACTATAGCCTAATAAATCTTTCATAAACCAATCAAAAACGATTTTATCTCGTGATTTTTGCTTGCCACTCATGTTTGATCAACACACAAGATTGAAATCTGTTGAATATAAGTATATATAAAGGGTGTTCCAGAAGTTCTGAAACGATTTTAAGAATTCACCGTTCTCGCATTCTACAAAAGCAAATTCGCTGAAACTTTGGTAAATTGTTGTACATATGTGGTACTACATAACTGTAAAGTTTCAGGTCTATAGCTTGTACTATGGATGAGAGCCTAGAACAACACTGACATGTACTATTTTTTAAATTTTCCTGATCATCTTCGGGATGTGCAACATTTTTTTAATTTCATCTATATCTCGGGCTGGGTAGATGATAAAATCTTGAATTTTTTTTAAAAAGATGCGCCGTGAAAAGCTCTACAAAAATTGTAATAACAAATCCCTATTGACTTGTGTTAATGGTCTTTGCCATACTCA